CCTCAAGGCCTGCACCGGGCCTGGCGCCCGCGGGGCATCGCACCACCGGCCTGGGGTTGATTCCCATTCCTGTGAGGAACAGCACGTAAAATCTCACTCATAGAGGCTTAGAAGAGGTTGGTTAGGGGGGTAAAATAATGCCACGCCGCTGCCCGGCCTCCCTGTGACCTGCAGCAGCCTTGGCCAGCTCTCCTCACTCGGGAGGTGACACTAAAAGTCTAACCCCACCAACCGAAATTGGGGCACAAGAAACAAAGAGTTAAGACACAGCACACGTACAGGGTCTCAAAAGTGTGCTTGACTCAAAATGTATTTGATCTGTGTCAAATACAAGTCTCAAAATATACCTGACACACCTGCGGGTGTCCAATATATTAAGCAATATTGATTTGGAAACACTGGTGTTTTGTCTCCTCTGGAGGCAGGAGCAAACGGCTGCGGTGAGAAAGGCAGGGAAAAAAACAGCCCCAGAAAAATCGACGTGACCAATTCCAGAACTTTGCTTTGAACTTTTAAGGGCCTAAAATAAACTCATTTTAGATAGCTTTTAAACTAACACGTGCCACACGCATCACTCTTTGAGCCTGACTTCTAGGTAAGCTCTGTTCTAGCTTAGGAAGCTCGTTATTCGAAGGATGACCCTGGCTTCACAGACTAGACCCTTCTGCAATACAAGGCTGTTAAGCCAGATCTATTCTTAGATCCTCCCTCCTGTGCCAGGCTTCTTTTAGATCTGGAGCTACAGCCGGTGGATCCTTGCTCAGCACTGCCCATGCAAAAGTGCCTCTTTCCTACTGAAAGAGCTGATCTCTCTTTTTGAGCACGACTTTCATAGCACAGAGCTCAGCGAGGTCTGAGCAGAAGGTGGATGTGAGTCTGCTCCTGCGCTGGAAAGATTAATTTAACGGATCTCTTCACTGGTGGAATACCACCACCTCCAGGGTGGAGGATGCACAACAGCCAACCATGTAAAAACCTAACGCTACTCACACTCTAACACAGGGATACCAGAAAGACAACGCAGAGAACAAAGTTTTCCAGGGTTTTCAAGCAAACTCCAGGAGGGCAGCGCTGGATTGACGTTCTGTGCGTCTGCCTGCGAAGGTGACAGAGGTGTCCTGTTTGATTTCGAGGGTGAACGTAACGGATGTTGTGAAGATTAATTACAGGCTGCCCCTGACTCGTCATCCTCATGCAAAATCCATCGGCTGAGAACGGGCCAATGTTAAAAACAGCTAGAAGTTTATTTCCCCTCAGCTGATTGGGAAAAAGAAGTTGTGTGGCCAAAGGCACGCTCGAACTGTCCACAGGGGTGAAACTACCAAGTGTTTTTCGCTTCGAGTTTTTGGTTTGTGAGCATTTCCCCCACCAGGCAGGCACGGGCTACCCAAAGCAAGCGGTACCACATACTCCACATCCAACTCATTAAAACGATTTAAACTGTTAAGAAAATCTTATGGTTTTATTGTGTAACGTAGCATCGAAACATCTGAACAAATCAATATCTGGGCTGTACAGGCTGCTGTTCTTTCCTTTCTTTGGGTTATAGAGCATCTGGTCAGTACAGAAACAACAACCTTTTTGCATTAGAGATTCTTTCCGAGGCATGCTGGTACAACACAAATTTCTCTTGTCAAACGCAGCTAAGTCTAAACTTCCAAACATCATGCACAAGAAACTCATCTAGTGACAATGTAAACTCAGCAGAAGGTCACAGGTCTTGCTCGCTCGCGCTCCGCAGTGCTGCAGGTTTGTGTATGATATTTGGAATGTTCCGTGAGTGTGAATAATACTAGTAAGAGAGGAAAAAAAATAAAAAGAAAAAAAAACAAACAAACAAAAAAGAAAAGCACGGGTGCCTCGGGATTGCCAGCTCAGCCAAAGTTGTGCAATGCTAGCCTGAACATGTCGTTGGTGCAAACCCAGGCATCGTTGATGTTCTTTAATAGAAATATCTGGTGGAATCCCATGATAGGATCTTCATCAGCCTGTAGGAAGAGAAGGGAAAACAAGTTCAAAACAGCTCTTTTCTTGAGAAGCGTATTCCGAAACGCGCAATAAGACAACTTTAAAGCTAGCGTTAACGGCGATGTAAGACGTGTAGTACCTCAGGAGACACTAACACGACCAGAGGTTCTGTTCCGAGGTGGGAACTAGAGCCTGATGACATGCAAATCCTGCAATGGCGTCAGAAGTTGGGCTTTTCCGGAAAACTCACTCCAGCAACTTCCCAAGACTAAGACCAAGCCCGCGTTCGTGCCAAATCACAATTTTTCTTTGGGCTTTGCCCAGGAACCAAGCACGGTGTTGCGAAATTAGCTCGTAGCTGCCACACTTTGGATTGACAACAGAAGGGAGTTTCCGTAGAAGTCAGCATCAACAAGTATTGCCTCGACAATCTAGGTCACGACCCAGGCTTTTGAAAACTTTCCCAGAGCAGGTATAGCTGGGCCAGCAACGTCGTACTTCCCATCTGCACTGCCCAGGAACAGCTCAAAGGGAGCAAATTATCTGCTATAGCTGCAACGAGGGTGCCCTAAGCATGGGGAATTTTTGCAGCAATTTGACAATTCATAGAATTTGAGAATTCATCCAGGTGCACTAGTACAGTGCCTGCACTGTAGGTTACTACAAAAGTAGAAAACAGTGTTAGAAGAAAGACTAGTTCTCCCATGTCATGTTTATCAGGCTCCTCAGAGCCATCGAGCAGAAATTAAAGCCTCAAGATAACATAAACGATTCCCAAATCAGTTGGAAAAAAAAATAAATCACACAACAGGATTTAATCTGAGCAGTGCAAAGGGACCAAGCTACGAAACCAGTCTTCTGATATGACCACAATTCGGCATTTTTGGAGGATTTTAAACTCTATTCTTTCAGTATATGATTACTCAACTTCTACGAGTCCAACGGAGAGCTAGGAGGATGATGAAGGGACTTGAACTAGAGAGGGTGTGGAGTCTCCTGCTCTGGAGACTTTCCAACCCGCCTGGACGCGTTCCTGTGGGGCTGCCCTGGGTGACCCTGCTCTGGCAGGGGGTGGCACTGGGGGAGCTCTGGAGCTCCCTTCCAACCCCCAACGGTCTATGATAAGCAAGATGATCCAGCTCCAGGATGGTTTCCTACTGAAGACGGTCAACCAGGTGTGACTCCAGCTTGCAAAAAGGTGACCAGAAGCAGGAGAACAGGCAAGATCAATGGCTATAGAATCACAAAGGACAAAGAGGATGAGGAAACTACTGCAGCCAGAAACTAAGGCAACAAGTAAGGCCAGAAGAACAAGGAAGCCAAGTGTTCGGGAGATGAATGAATGAAAGAAAAATCCTCAAGCAAGGCGAGTGCCAGTCAAGTCCCGGTCCCGATGAACCGAGCAGCTTTCGGTCACGTAGATCCGCGCCTCCTTTTGCTTTAGCCAGAGGCTCCGTAACAATCAGCAGGAGCAAACACAAGCAATTACGCCGGATTAAAGCAGCCGCCCGCTGAGTTTGTAGCACACACGACAACAGCCGTGCCACCAATTATTTCAGGGCAAGTACGATCAGGGTTACATCCACCCCGAGAAGACGCTTTGCCATCTCCCTGCTGAAGAGGTGGCCTGTGCACCAAATCCCCCAGGTTTATGCCTTTTCCAGCTTTCCCGAGTGTCAAACGTAACAGTCGTATCCCAGCATAGTCTCACTGCTGCTTGAGTCAGTAGATTCCTGGATATGGAGGAATTTTGAAGAAAATTCAGTGCCATCAGAGCGCTGTACTTTAAAAGTCTGACGTACGACTCTGTGAAGCATCTTGTTCATGCTTTTATTATCCCTTTTGACTACGGTGGAATGAACTTGTGTGTGTGCCAGCTCCTTTCCAATGGCTTAGTTTAAACCAGACACAATCATTTCAGCCCAAAATCACTTCTAATGACTAACTATTAATAAGCATTTAGTGCCCTCTCACGTTGCTCTATGGTCTCCTCTTTTTAGGTCACTGAGGCATCTATTACAAGTTGCATCAGTAGTTTTCACACCAAATTTGAATACGTTATTACCGACACAAGTACATTTTAATAATAAGGAAACAGATTTCCTGTAGGTGTACGCAATCTGTGATAAGCCCAGCTGCACTGTAGCTCTTAGTGCTTTGGCTTGAGGACAATTTTCCCTTTTCTTATGCAATTCAAGACTAGATACATGGAAAAAAATAAAAGATTGAAAGGAAATTCTTCCCAAACACTTGTTGTACATATGGCAAATTGTCCCAGTGAAGCCGTGTTACTGCTTTCTTTACTCCTTTAATGTTATGTCTTCACAGAGGACCAGGATACTTTAAAAACAAGGAAAATCTTAGACTGCATTTAAGGTGGATGAAGTAATTCGTAGTCCGTTCCCAAAATTCTGGATACGTCTCATTAACATACAGCAACGACCCACAGTTGAGCGGCTTGAGATGCTCTAGGAGGCACAGAGTAATCCCATCCCATTTCAGTTTGGATCTTCATCACAGCTTGGGTAACCTCATGGAAAATCTTTACTCTTGATTTCCACTCCCAATTCAGCTACGCCCGACTCAAAATTTGCATTCCAGCTGTGAGCCCAGGCTTGAAACACGGGGGCTTTATTTTTTGTACAAAGCTTTCGCCTTAGGCCCTTCTAAATTGTTTCAGGACGTCCCTGAATTGAAATAAAAAATTTTCAAAGTCCCAGAATCGGACTGGAAGGCTGCTCTGATTTCCCATCCAGCCTTAGGCTCATAGCAAGACTACCAGCCGCATAGCATCTCCCAAGAATGGAGGTTTTTCAACGTGCCCAGGCAACACTTCCCAAGGTTTCAATCTTCTAGCAGGGGAGAGAAAAAAAAACAACTCAAAAAATCCAACCGAACCATCCCTTGCATCAAATCTCAACCTCCCAAGTTACGGTCTGCAAGCACTGTCTCTTGTTACGCTGTCTGCTCTCACCAAGACGTTTGCTTTCAAGTTGCTCGAAGTAATCAACTACTTTCCACTTACATTTCAGGCAAACTGCCCTCATCCAGCTCCTCTGCCAGCTCCACAAGCTCTCGAATACTGGGAAAACTTGCAAACTTGGCAGCTTTTTGACCTCTTCCAGTTGTTTTGGAACTCACCTGGAGGCTCAGAACTGGAGGAAGTCCCCAGCTCGCAGAGCCACGAGTCACATCAGAGTAGTAGGCACAACCCTACTTTGCGATCCGAGTTGAGCCACACAACTTTTCTCCTCTTGTCTGGTCAGAAACAGTTCTGCTCTTTCACCAGCACCCCCACAGCAACTGGTGATTGAGCTGCAGGCTTGCAACCGTCCCTATCCCAAAGGAAAGGCTAATTAATTCAGATTGCAGGTTCTTTCCGACGTTAAAGCCTCATTTAACAGGCTTTAAAGGGCACTTTTTAGTGTTCAGCGTATAATTATAAAAACATCCAGCGATCTTAATTGCAAATGTCCTTTCCAAGGCTAGAAAGCAATTAGTTATTTGCAATTAATTCTGCCACAATCACTTCGAAATTCAGGACAGCGAGGACCGTGTGGAAGAGAGGTAAGGAAGATCACGCTTTTCAATGAAAGCTTTCGCCATCCCCGCTGGTGACACTCACCCAACTCTGACGCTCTGTCACCCTGCAACACCCTCACCAAGGGGCTGTTGCATCCGATCCTCTCAGCAATTAATGATTATTCTGCTGCAAATATGTACTTTTTCTGTATTATTGTTATTTTTATTTACAGTTTATATGGGTATCAGCACGCTAGGTTGCAGACTGGACGGAGCGGCACAGGACCTCGTCACAGGGCAGTGATGATTTTGACCGACCCCGCTCCGACAGGGGTGGCCGAAGGCTTTAAAACAACCCAGACCCACTGTTTTGCTTCAGCAAAAAAAACCCCAGTGTATTTCTGGTAACAGAAATACAGAGTTTGACAGTAATAATCCTTGGCCCCATTATTTCTTCGGAACTGTTCTCACACACTTAAGGAGAGACCTGAGGCTCCGTAACAATTTGGTAGCAGCTCATCCCCACAGTACACATATAGGGAGAATAGAGGTTTTCTCTGCTTTTTTTTTTTCTTTTTTCCTTCTAAAATCAAGCAAGATCAAAGTCTAACGGTTTATAGAAGAAATACAAGATGTGCCCAGCTCACCCGAGTTTCCACTGAACTTTTGGGACTAGCAAATCGAGCAACTAAGGCCTCAGAAAATCTATTTAAATATCAGGCCAAGAACATCTTCTTAGAAAGGACACGCCACAGGTATTGTGGCATTATTTTTTTCTTGGATTCCTCTGTTAAAAACAAGCATTACGGACGCTCCTTCGTTACGCAAAACAACGTGAGTTTTGAAAAAACGCAGAGAATTCAAACGCATACGCATTAATTGGTACTTTGCTTTGAAGAATTTGGCTCGCAGCGCCATGAAAAGGATAATAATCACGAGCAGAAAAGCCACGGGTTTCCCTTCAAACCCCGCTACTGATGGTCTTGAAAGGGCATTTCCTTGTGCAAATTTTCTACAGTTTTCCTTGGGATCAAGAGGCACGAAAATGTGCTTTTTAAAGCTAAGACTGGAAACACGTACATGTGAAGGGTGAAGAAATGTTGCCTCTCCTCCCGAAAATTCACAAATATGTTAGATTTGCTCATGACAGCAGGCATACTTTAATCCAGTATGACCTTTCCAAATACCTAGACGCATTAATACATGATTCCAGAATTATTCTGAATAGTTTTCAGCGAGCCAGGTGAAATTATTCAGAGGATAAAAGCAATTCAGTGTTTTCCCACGGCTGCACATGTCTCTCCCTCAACAGACTGTGGGCAGGTGGGACTGAGCAACAAGAAAGTCAGAATCCAACTTGCAGCGAGGAAGGAGGAGCAACTTTCACGAGAGGAAAACCCGCGTTCGGTTTAGAATTGGATGTGGTAAGGCTGGGAACCGCT